CCACTCCCCTGCCCTCCCTTCAACTGCTCCACCCCTGCCTATTTACAAAGACTTTATTTTCATTTTTTCTTGCCCTCAATGTTCTACAACTACTTCCTGACCAGAAGGACATGGAATTACTACATATCTAGTACAGAGGATGATATTGAATGTAAGAATTTCAGTGAATTAGTGTGGGTTGTGTGCTGGAAAAAGGTCAGATCTAGAATCTAAAGGCACAAATCTTGATTTTAAAACAGTTTCTCAAATCATCGCTGCTAGTAATCGGTACTATAAGTAGAATGTCTAGTATAAATTCTCTGAAATTAGAGGGCACATGAATATGGTATGGTGTTAATTTCAATAACACAAAATTTTCTGAATATGCATATTAGTTGGCCTTGAATCCACTTGTATTTATAACCATATTCAACACATATTTATTTCAAGATTGCCAGATGAAATATAAATGTCTAAAAATCTCAGTCTGGAAATGTGCACTATCTTGTTTGATGAAGAAACAGCAGTTGTAAAAGAAAATGTGGTATAAAAACCCCATAAATTTTGGTTCAAAAACAGACTAAGTAATTTGCAATTAAGAAAATGGAAAGACAAGAGTAAATGTTTAGCACCACTGTGATATTAACTGCCTGGAGCCCTCTCTCTTCTGCAGGACTCTAACAACAGCCTTTTTTACCACTTTGTTTCTGAGACTGTAAATGAGAGGGTTCAGCATGGGAATCACAATCGTGTAAAACACAGAAGCCACCTGATCCTTTCCCAAGGAGTAGGATGTCTTTGGTTTTAGATAAGTGAAGACCATAGTGCTGTAGAAGATGGTGATGCCCAGGAGGTGGGAGGCACAGGTGGAGAAGGCTTTCTTCTTTCCAGCAGCGGAATTAATTTTCAGGACAGTGAAGAGGATGGACAGATAGGACCCAGATATGGCAATGAGGGACAGCACTAAATTGGATGCAGCACAAATGTACACAATGATTTCAAGCTCAGAAGTGTCACTGCAGGACAGGGCTAAAATTGGGGATATGTCACAGAAGAAGTGCTGGATGACGTTAGATTTGCAGAAGTGCAATCTGCTCATAAAAATTGCAATCATAGTGGACTCCACTAAACAAATCAGATAAGAACCAGTGAGCAGGGCTTGGCATAGTACTGTGGACATAATGACTTCATAGCGCAGAGGGTGGCAGATAGCTACATAGCGATCATAGGCCATGGAAGAGAGAAGATAGCATTCAGTGGCAGCCAAGAGGATAAAACAGAACATCTGGGTGACACAGCCGAGGAAGGAGATGCTCTTGGTGGAAGTCAGTAAGTTCTGTAAGGTTTTAGGGGTGATAACACTTGAGTAGCTGAGGTCGAGAAATGACAGGTGAGTGAGAAAAAAGTACATGGGGGTGTGCAGCTGGGGATCCAGGCAGATGATCAGTATCATCCCCATGTTCCCCAGCACCGTGATCAGGTAAATCAGGAGGAAGAGCACGGAGAGGACCAGCTGTGTCTCTGCAGAGTCCGTCAGCCCCATGAGGATGAAGCCAGGCACACTGGTGGAGTTCCTTCTACCCATGGTGCAATGTTTTAAACTATTGAAAAATTAATGCCATTCTTATCATCAGACACTTAAAAGCAGGAATTATTTGTATGATTGGACCAGATAAATTTTAATTAGTTTATTCTTCCTATGAATTGACAAATATTTTGGTGAAAATGTCCTCAAAATTCAAATATCAGGAAGAGAAGGATATGCCGTAAATTCAAATTTGCTTCTGACACAACCAATAGTTACAACCCATAGAATTAGCTTGAATGTGATACACCATGAATGTTTTGTTTATTAGCCCTTTTCATCCACATATAATTTTATGCCATATTCACTGTTATCCATAGCTTTTTAGGTCACAAGAAGGGCACAGAATTGAACTTTCATGAAATTAGAGCAGTGACTTCTTATCACTGAAAACCTTTCAATGTTTTGATCTTGAGATAATGCAAAAAAATACACATTTGTGTTTATTACATGTTTTTACAAAATTTATCAAGGATATCTAATAAACTAAAAGAAAAAAAAACTTGAGTATACTTTTTAGTTTCATTTAGTTCCCAGTACTATTGGGCATTAATTGCACATTAGTTTCACATTTTGGGAAAGTTAGCTTAGGGCACTATGGTCATATACTTCAGACAGTATAGAATTTCTGAATACATCTGTCAAATCTGAGAGGGTAAAATTGCTATTTAAACATTAAGAAGTTTTTAAACAAAGGCTGTTGTTCCACATGCCTGAGGCAGGTTGTTTCTGCCTGTGGCCTCAGGAGGCCTCTTTCCTATAAAAGAGAAAAAAAGCTAAACTTGTATATATGCCTATTCTTATGATAAAATTCCTATTTAATTTTATCTTTTCTAAAACACTCAAACTTTTAAAATGATACTTACAGTGAGTCAAGGTTGGTGGAAACAACTCTTTCCAGTTCTGTCGGTCTAGGAATTTGAAAATTACAAATTTTGTTCTGAAAGAAAATGTAATATATGTACCTCGGAGGTTGGGTGATATTTCCTTTCCTTGATATAAACAACTTTTCTAGCTTTTGGTGTAAGTCACTGTTATAGTTTTGTACATTTCTTCTTTATAGTTCTGAGGTAAATTAAATTAGCCCGGATTTTTTAGGTCTTCATCAAAGGGACACTTGCCAGGAAGTCTTGTCGGAAAAGAATTCCACCAAGCAAGAGTGCATTTCCACAGAACAGTGTGTGCCCTGCCTCCCCACCTGGTCCTTCCAGGGCCTATCAAGGAGGAGGCTGGGCCCGGCAGCTCATGGTCATCCTCTGAGACCAAATGCAAAGATGAACCCTGGGCGTGAGGCCAAGGACTACTGTCCTAAGAGTAAACGAGCAAAGGATTTCCCCTTTTCCCTGGATGTTCCACTCAGGAGAGCAGAAACACATTCTCTCAGGATACTGCAGTTTGGAGCTACACTTCATGTTTTTAAGTTTAATTTCTTTCATAATTATTAACATTCCCAAAGATTTATGTTTAGACTCAATAGTGCTCTCAGGATTCTCTTTTCTTTTGTTAGGTTGTATGGTGTTTTTGTTGTTCCTTTTGTTGCTATTGTTGACTAAGTAAGTGTAGGTAAAATTTCCAAGACTGACATTATCATGGGTGGAGTGGTAAAATTTACATGAGTAAATGCATTGCAATTAAAAGCATGATTCTATTATAAGAGTGTCTTATCCATGGTCAGCAGGTGTCCTAATGGAAAGCTCAGTACCAAGAAATAATTAGAGGGAAGAAGTTAATGAAAGAAAGATGCTTTAATTGTGGGGAGGAAGAAAAAACATAGAGAGAAATAAGTTTTCCTAGAGAGGACACAAGGTCTAGAAAAAATGGACAGGTGCCTACAACTTCTAGGATTTCCTATAAGTTTTCTTCCATCATTTTTCAAGTTTCCAGATTTACATCTAATCTCTGATCATTTTTATATCAGAGCAGGATGAGAAATAGAGATCCTATCTCTACTTTCTGCATGTGGATGTCCAGGTTTCCACTGTCATTTATTAAAGAGGCTGTCATTTATAAAGAATAAATATTTGTTCCTTTTGCAACAATCAGGTGTCGGGCAGTGCATGTGGTTGCTTCTGTGTTTTCTGTCTTATAATACTGGTGTTCACTTTGTTGTTGTGTCATTGCTAAATACATGTGTCTTTTTCCACCATGGCATTGGATTTTAATTTGAAATCAAGTAGTGAGATGTCTTCAGAGTTATTGTTGTGGCTCTGGAATATTTTGGAATGTCTCTGTCTTTTGAGTTTCCATAGGGTTGCCTTTTCTAGAATGGTGGTAGTTTAGTAGAAATCACAATCCATCTCCAGATCACTTTCATCGACATGGTGTTTTTAACAATATAAATTGTGTCAATTCACGAATAATTGGATTCTAGTCAATTCCAATACCATTTCCACTTTTTAACGTTTCCCTAATGTTCAGGTTTCTATTTTTACTGGTACATTTTTGTAGTTCATACTGACTAGCTTAATCTCGAGGAGCTGGTTCGCATATACAACATTTCAGAACTCCGTTATGTAAGTTTTCCCCACCCCAGCCCTGCCTCACTTCACCCTCTTCTCTGACAGGTATGTATTTCTTTTCACCCATTGGACTAGTGTGATTACTGCTTGTTATTCTAGGAACTTTAGTTACATCGTTAGGTTATTTAGTTTTGATCCCTTTTCCTCTAACATAGACCTCGCTCTACATTTTCTTCAGGACCCTTTTCCTTGTGTCCTTCAGGTTCTGATATATTGCATCTGCCTTATCATTTATTTATAGGAATTATTGAATTTCTCCTCATATACTATCTGGAACCCTTTGATTATTCAATAGTGCAATTTTCTGTCACTGTGCTAGTCACCCCCCGCCGTAGTTTCTTTGCTGTTGCTATATAGATTCAACATATTCTGATACTCTCAGATAACTTAATATGGGGGGGGTACCTGGGATTGCACTGAGGACCTTGCACTTGCGAGGCAGGCAATGGAACCATTGAGCTAAATCCTCTGCCCAGAATTTTTTAGTATTTTCAGTTCAATGACACTTGCTTTATGTGCTTAAAATATTGACAATTTTGAAGAACTTTCCACCAGTACAAAATGTGTACTATTCTATTTTTGAATAAAATTCTGTTTATATTACTTTAAATTACTTTAAAACACATATTTGTAGAAATATTGTATTGAAATAATTTATACAGTTGCACAAATTTTCATTTTTCATAAGTTTTCCTTAATAGCACAGATGTTTTGCATCTTAGGTTTAACACTTAATTGTGTCTCCAAACAATAATATGAATTTGTAAGCACCTGTCTCTCAAAATACCGAGGATCTCATTTTTCAAGGAAAGAGCAGCTGGAAAATGGAAAAACAATATTTATTTTTTTACAAAATGAGAACAAATAATTTGTAGAAGTAAAAAAGAAGAGGGGAAAAATGTAAATGCCTAGCATCTCTAGTATTTTAATTTTTTAGAACCCTCTCTCTTCTGCAGGACTCTCAGGGCAGCGCTCTTCACCTCTCTGTTTCTGAGACTGTAAATGAGAGGGTTCAGCATGGGGATCACAATCGTGTAAAACACAGAAGCCACCTGATCCCTGCCCAAGGAGTAGGATGACTTTGGTTTTAGGTAAGTGAAGATTGTGCTGCTGTAGAAGATGGTGACTCCCAGGAGGTGGGAGGCACAGGTAGAGAAGGCTTTTTTCTTTCCAGTGGCGGAATTAATTTTTAAGATAGTGGAGAGGATGGACAGATAGGATCCAGATATGGTGCTGAGGGACACTATTAGGGAGAAGCCAGCAAAAATAAATATAATGATTTCAGCCTTGTGTGTATCACTGCAAGACAGTGCTAATATTGGAGATGAGTCACAGAAAAAGTGCTGGATGACATTAGTGTTGCAGAAATGCAGTGTGCTCATGGAAACCACAACCACAGTGGAATCCACAAAGCCAACAACATAGGAGCCAGCTAGCAGAGCACGGCACAAAGTTGTGGACAAAATGACTGGATAGTGTAGTGGGCGGCAGATAGCCACATAGCGATCATAGGCCATGGAGGACAGGAGGAAACATTCAGCAGCAACATAAAGTATAAAGAAATACATCTGTGTGAAGCACTGGAGGTAGGAGATGCTCTTGGTGGAAGTCAGTAAGTTCTGTAAGGTTTTAGGGGTGACAACACTTGAGTAGCTGAAGTCAAGAAATGACAGGTGAGTGAGAAAAAAGTACATGGGTGTGTGCAGCTGGGGATCCAGGCGAATGATCAATATCATCCCCATGTTCCCCAGCACAGTAATCAGGTAAATCAGGAGGAAGAGCACGGAGAGGACCAGCTGTGTCTCTGCAGAATCCGTCAGCCCCATGAGGATGAAGTCAGTCACACCGGTGTGATTCCTTGTGCCCATGATGTTTTGCTGAACTTATCTGTGGAATAATAAATTTTAAAAATTACTCTGTCTCCACAATATTTTTTTTAATGTTAGTGGCTCAATGTTTTTAATAGCCTTCCTAGAAATTAATGAAAATCATTGTGAAGAAGACTGAAACAAATATGATCACCATGTATAAATATGGGTATAAAATGACACTTTTTTCTGATACATTAACCATTTACATCCTGTTATTAGCATGAAACTGATGCTTTTCTACCACCTTCCATTATTAGCACATTCAATTCTTATGAAAGTGTTATACTTTATGAACTGCTATCCACATCCTTAAATTTAGAGAAAAGGCCCAGAAAATACTTAAGTAAAAATGTTCAGTTATATATTGCTACTGATTTATTCAATGTAGATATTTTGACTTCAGAGAAAAGACCTACAATACCTTTTTGATGATCAGGACTTGCTTTACCAATCCTGAATGAGGATATAAAATTTACCAGGATCAATATCCTTTTTAGGGTGTTATTCACTGCCCCTATGTGCCCAATGGCTTATCATACTAATCATAACAATTTCTGTTTGGGGAGTTGGGTGAATCACATCAATATTAAAATCCCTGAAGGTATAGTAACAGAGAAAAAAATCAATCTTTAAAACTTTAGGATTTTTGAAAATAGGCTCTTTCTCCGGCTTCCTCAGGTGCATAGAGGAATACTCTTCCTGTTCTCCCCTAAATGACTGCACACAGAATTAATGCTCAGTCTCAGATTTATCATGACTGCCTAAAAAGAATATTCAGATTCTACCCTAGGGGGTCCAGGTCTGTTTTATCTTGGAAAAGGGAGGAAGGGACGTTTGAGTCACCTGGATATAAAAGCTCTGGAAGAAATTAACACAGGGAGACAGATTTTTACTGAGAAGAGGCCTCTGTCTCTCTTGAGGTGTAAATATACCCTTTCCTTCTCCCAAAGTAACTTTTCCCCACCTTTGTTGAAGCACTCAGAGGCAGATCAGACCTTCAACTTTGGTAACAATATATCTTTTAACTTGCCATTCAAAAACAATTTTCTTTAAAATATGATATTTTCAGAATATGTACATTGCTTTATACAATCATTTCACAATGATTGTATATGAACATGATATATGTGAACATATTTTTTTAAAAAGTCCCCCTTATTTTATCTAGTATAATCCCCTCCTGTTCTCAGAATGATACTTACTATGCACTCACAATGCCGAAAAACTGAGTTCCAAAGTTGTCTGTTTAGAAATTTATCAAGCCAAAATATTCTCAGAAATAAACTAGGAAATCATATAGTGAACTGGAAGTTATTGTAATCTGTTGGTTTTTCCAAGGGTAATTTGTCTTTATGATTTTCTGCATTCATATTTTTATTCTGAGGAAAATTGTATCACCCTAGAAATTTTGTTTGTTTTGATCAATAAAAAAAATCACCCCGAAGTTTCCTCTGAAAACAGTCTGATGAGGACCTGTGGATGGAGAAAGACCAGTGTGTGTCTCTCCTCCCAGTCAGCCTCATATACTGGGCATTCAGGATACTGTAGCATTTGCTCATCCTCGGGGAGCAATTTCCAGGGAAGATTTTTTGGTCTGATTCCAAAGATGAGAGCTCAATATTTTAACGAGCACTAGGTTTTGTCTTTTCCCTTAGAAGTCCCATGTTTAGAACATGAACACTTCATATTCTCATGTGGTGCCCCAAGATTTTGTTGAACTCCATTGATTTACTTTTGAAATTGACACACTTTCATAGAAACTTGCCAGCGATAACTTTTACATCTCAGTAATTAATCAGGTTTCTTTTTTTTTAAACTATAAATTTAGTAAAGAAATTTCCAAGATCATACTTCCTTTACTATTGACATTATGAAGATTGGGACAATACAAATTTTTTGAAAATGTTTTCTACTCAAATTAATGACTTGGCTGCAGAGATAAAACATAGTCCCTAGAAAAAAACTGTAAAGCATTGAGATGCAAAGAAAAATAAAATAATTCAAAATGAAACCAGAAATACTTTCTCAGATAAGAAGAGATTATGTCCTTAGTGACAGATATAATTAATAAATCTAGAGTAGATAAATATTTTAAAAATGAAATAAAGGAGCTAGGGCTGGGGATTTAACTGAGTGGTGCCACGTCCTGCCTAGCAAGTGTAATGTACCAGGTTCTATTCCCAGTACCCACCCCACAACAGATGTGCTTAAGAACATGATGGAGTCCCAACACAGAAATGAAATGGAATCCATAAAACAGATACAAACAAATTTCCACGACAGCACGGGAACTAGCAGAAAGAATCAACAACTGGGATCTCATCTTACTAAAAAGCTTCTGTACTTCAAAAGAAACCATTAGCAGAACTAAGAGACAATCTACAATGTGGGAAAAAATTTTTACCAGCTGTACCTCAGACAAAGGACTATTATCAAGGATATATAAAGAACTCAAAACAATCAGTCCCCCCAAATATAAAGACCCGATCCAAAAATGGGCATCCGAAATGAACAGACATTTCTCATACAAAGAAGTGAAAGCAGCAAGAAAATATATGAAAAAATGTTCCACATCACTGGTCATTCGAGAGATGCAGATGAAAACAACACTAAGATTCCACCTCACCCCACAAAGAATGGCTGCTATCAAGAAATCACACAATAACAAATGTTGGCGGGGTTGTGGGGGGGAAGGAACCCTCCTCCATTGTTGGTGGGAGTGCAGACTAGTGCAACCACTATGGAAATCAATATGGAGATACCTCAAAGAGCTTGGACTGGAGGTTCCATTTGACCCAGCCATCCCTCTGTTGGGTATCTTTCCAAGAGAACTAAAAGAATCATATCACAGAGAAGTATGTGCACCCATGTTTATAGCGGCACAGTTTGTAATAGCTAAATCTTGGAAACAACCTATTTGCCCATCCGTTGGAAACTGGATAAAGAAGTTGTGGTTTTTCTATAAAATGGAATATTACTCAGCCATAAAGAGCGAGAGAATAGATTCATTCATAGGAAAATGGATACATATTGAAGATATACTCCTAAGTGAAATAAATAAGTCCCACATGTGTAAATACCAAATAGTTTCCCTGGTGTGAATATTCTGCAACAATGCATAAGATTCTAATAAGATTACTGACATTTAGAAATGGGAGGAAAGGAGCTAAAGGTGTAGGGAAGGTGTGATACGTAGGGGAAGAACAAAAAGGGAAAAGAAAAAAATGTGAGAGAATGAAAAGATGAAAATAAAGTGTTTGTAGATGGGGAGGGGAGGAGGGGGTGAAGGGAGGGCAGAGGTAAGGGAAAAAAAATGAGAATCAAGACTTGCCATGTAAAGGTACATGATCCCAACAATGAATGTAACTGTACTGTATCCATAAATGTACCAATAAACTCAATAAAAAAAAAAACTCCATTAAAAGTTTATGCAGCAGAATTTGCCAATGTGAGGACAAAATTTCAAACATATAAGATGCTATTTTAATTAGTGACCGGGGAAAGTAAAATTTAAAAAAATAGTAAGGGGCCATGAGAAATCAATTGAGAAGCTGCTAGTTGATTCAAAGAATAACATAAGACAGATCAGAGTCAATGAAGAAAAAGGGGAGTCTTCAAATGATAAAAAACTGTTCACAGAAATTATGGCTGAAAACTTCCCAAGCAGGGGAAAGGAAATTTACAAACAGAGAGGTGAAGCATAGAGCAGTCCACCTAGTCATGATTAAAAAAAAAAAAAAAAAAAAAAAAAAAACACAACTAGGAAGACAGAAGTATAAAATATAAAAAAAAAAAAAAAAAAAAAAAAAAAAACCTACACCTGAGCATATAATAGTTAAGATTCCAGAAATTCAACAGAAAAACAAACTTCTATAAGCAGTTAGAGAAAAGAAAGCAATCACATACAAAGGAGAGCCCATCTGACTCACTGCAGATCTCTCAACACAAACTCTCAAGTGAAGAAGAGCCTGCAGTGACATATTTTAAGCCCTAAAAGAAAAGAGCCTCCAATACAGATGATGTACCCTGCAAAAATGTCTTTCAAAATAGATCGAGAAATAAGATACTTTCATGACAAAGAGCATGTTACGAACTTCATGAATACAAAACAAGCACTCCAAAAAATTTTTAAACAATGTCCTAGGAAAAGACAATGATGATCACAACCACAGGAAGCCCAACAGAATGAAGAAAATAAATTAAATGCAAAGGGGGAGAATTCCACAAAAAGAAAAAGTCATATTAAGGAGAAGTCAATGCATCGCAGTTATAACCATCAATGTTAATAATCTCAACTCACTAATCAAAAGAAATAGACTGGCAGAATGTGTCAATAAGTACGATCCAACAGTATGCTGCCTACAAGAAACAAGCTTAATTCAAACAAAATCATAGACTGAAAGTTAATAGGTGGAAATCAATATTCCATGCAACAGGAACCTTAAAAAAAAGCAGGAGTAGCTATCCTCTTTGCAGATCAAATGGATTTCAAATCAACACTAATTAAGAAGGACAAAGAAGAACACTATATTCTTATAAAGGGAAAAATCCGAAAGAGATGACAATCATACATATGCACCAAACACAAGTGTGCCCAAGTATATAACACAAATATTAATGAATAAGAAATATGAAATAAATACTAATACAATAGTAGTGGAGGAACTCAATACCCCACAGTTACAAATAGATCAACTAGACAAGAAATAAACAATGAAATATTATGACTCCATCAAAATCTTGGACAAATGAACTTAACAGATGTTTACAGAGTGTTCTACCCCACAAAATCAAAACACACATTTGTTTCAGCTGCACATGTTCTTGACTCACTACATAAATATCAATTTCTTATATTCAGGAGCTCTTTCCTGTTTTTAAAGATATAGTTGTTTTTAAAGATATAGTTTCACAATATTTTCATATATGTGTATTTTTGTGATTTAGAAAATATATTGTCAGTTTTTGTTGTGTTAGTTTTTGTTGATAAGAATGTA